GTATGTGCTTTCCCGTGAGGACCCTGGCCCCCAACAGGTGCTCCCCAGTGTCCGGGGTGGAGCTCACTGCTCCATCCATTGGGGGCGATCCTCCAATTGTTCCTTTGGATTGATCTTTTTTTTTCCTAGTATCTATCTGTGGCAGTTCTTCCATATATATATATATATATATATATATGTATATATACACACATATATATGTGTGTATATATACATATATATTTATATATATATTTGATACAGGGTTTCTCTTTGTTGCTTTGGAGCCTGTCCTGGAACTCGCTCTATAGATCAAGCTGACCTTGAGCTCACAGAGTTCCTCCTGACTCTGCCTCCTGAGTGCTGGGATTAAAGGCGTGTGCCACCACTGCCTGGCCCCATAAAATATTTTTGTCAATATGACACAGAGTTAGCCTTCATTTTAAATTGAGCAGTCTAGTGCCATTTATAATGTATGACCATCACCTCTGTCCTGCTCTAAAACAGTCTTATCACTCAAGAGCAGTCCACCCCCCAACCCTTGCCCCCCTGTCTCTGCGTTTGAATTTTTCTGTCTGTTCTTTTGAGGAGGAACAGTTTGAGAAGGATAGTGCAAGCTCTCGCTTTTTCATTCCTTCCACCAAGATGGCAATGTGACCTGATAATGTTTGAACTCATCTTGGAGACTCAGGCAGAAGTTTGTGATAAAATTTATATGGGGCCTTTTGGAATCTAAACACTAAATTAAAATTATCTCTTAAGGACAGGGACAAGGAAAGGCCACAGGGTGCCATTTGAGCTGGGTTGTGGCATATCACGTGAACATGTGACCTCTTGTGTGGGGCACTGGGGAACATTCTCTGGGGTGCTGGGGATGGAACCCAGGGCCTTTCCTGCACCAGACATGTCTATTACTGTGCTTAGTCCCTTCATTTTGAGACCTTAATTTTGATGGTGATCTAAGAAGAAATAAGGAAGCTTGTTTGGCTCATTAGCAGCTGGTGTTAGCTGACGCTGTCCCTGGAGATAGCAGGAAGACTAGGGTTCACCTCTGGAGTGTAACGAGACATTGCTGTTATTGCAGGTGTTTTGTGGACTGGTGTGGTGCCAGTGTCAATGTCTTCTCCCCCTGCCTTAGTTCTGTCTCTTGAGTTGAACCCTTTCTCCTTCTTGGTCAAGGATTGTGTAGATTGGTCACTTATTGACCTAGCACACAGTTGGGGCTCAGGAGGTAGTGTTGACTTGACACTCTTCCTGTGGAGTTTCAGTGCTGGAAGCTGGAGGGCTTCCGGGCTCTGATGCATGCATGCGTGTGTGCTGCATTCTCTGGTTTGTCACTGGAGAGCGTGAGAGAGCACGTTATGTTTCTGCGTGCCAGTTTGTGCAGGGTTCTTTCTGCATACTGCAGGGCTAGTGGCACACAAACTGTCACACAACAACCAGTATCCAGAGAGGGGAAGTGACTGCCTTGTCACATGGCCAGCAAGTGACCTGGCTAGGATGAGGACTTACATCTTGTGACTTCCTGATGCCTGTTCCTGCCTTCATAGCCAGGGGCTCCCTCTGTACTTCCTGCTACTGATACATGGAGCCACCAGTTTTGGACACTCTCTTCCCAAGTCTGTGCAGGAATCAGATGACCGCAGGTACCCTGCTGAGGCTGATAGTCTCACTGGGATTCATGACGGTGGAGATCACTGCCAAGTAGAACTTCTAGGCTGAGAGCCTCTAGGGTGTGTTTCGCAGGGCACATAACGACCTGAGTTCAAATACCTAGTACCCATGTGAAAATGCCAGATGCAGTGGAGTATGCTCATAATCTAAGACTAGGAAGCAGAGGTAGGTGGATCCCTGGTGCTCCCTGGATTACCAGCCTAACCTGAGACCCTGCTCAAAAGGAAAACACAAACCAATAAACAAGCCCAAATAGATAGCTCTTGAGGAATGAAACCTGAGGTTAAACTCTTGTGTCAGGCTGGGTGGTGGTGGCACATGCCTTTAATTCCAGCACTCGGGAGGCAGAGGCAGGCGGATCTCTGTGAGTTCGAGGCCAGCCTGGGCTACAAGAGCTAGTTCCAGGACAGACTCTAAAGCTACAGAGAAACCCTGTCTCGAAAAACCAAAAAAAAAAAACCAAAAAACAAAAAAAACCCCACCTCTTGTGTCGGGATGCATATGCACACAAACATACACACATCCCCTGTGGTGCACACAGATGCTCCCACTCCTCACAGATTAGTAGTTGTGGCTGGGCACATAGCTGACTAGTAGAATGCCTGTCCAGACAGGGTTTCTCTGCACTTCCAGGGTGAAACTGTCACTTCTAGTTGTCAGTGTCCAGTGTGAGTTGTTGAGTCTGTTACTAGGAAAAAGGAAGAAAGAAAGCTGTACTTTCCATTTTGGTGTTAGAGGGAAGAGCAGAAACTAACCCTTCTGCTAAGTGAAGAGAAGGCTATGGAGAGGCACGGGGTGAAGGATGTGTGAGGGTCTGGTGATAATCCTGTGTAGGGCTGCCTGTCAAAGCCTCTTTCAGCAAAAGTAATTGTTTTCTTAAGTGTCTTCGCTTTATCTCCCGGCTTGGAGGAAGACAGGTATCATGATGTGATTCCAACACAGACTTCAGGGGGCTAATGTTTTCCATCAAACTCACACTTGCACCAGTTAGTGTCCAGGTTAAAGAAGAATCTTAGCCTAGTAGACTGGTTTGAAGCACCCTTCATGACCAACTAGATGCTCTCCTGCCCTGTCTGATGATCCTGCCTACCCCAACCCCAGAAGACTTGTAGTCCTGTCTGATGGTCCTTCCTGCTCCTGTCCCCTAGTCCCATCTGATGGTCCTTCCTGCTCCTGCCCCCTAGTCCTGTCTGATGGTCCTTCTTCCTGTCCCTGCCCCCTAGTCCCGTCTTATGGTCCTTCCTGCTCCTGCCCCCTAGTCCCGTCTGATGGTCCTTCCTGCTCCTGCCCCCTAGTCCTGTCTGATGGTTCTTCCTGTCCCTGCCCCCTAGTCCTGTCTGATGGTCCTTCTTCCTGCTCCTGCCCCCAAGTCCTGTCTGATGGTCCTTCTTCCTGTCCCTGCCCCCTAGTCCTGTCTGATGGTCCTTATGCCTACCCCTACCCCTCTCATCCTGGAACACAGAAGCTGAGCTTGTCTTGCCTCAACCTCTCCCCTAGCTGTTTGCTTTGCATGGAATGGGCCCTTCCTTCTGTGGCTGCTGTTCTTCTTTATGAAGATTTCAGCTCCCATGTCACTTGTGCAGAGAGCCCACACCATGCTGGCGGTAGTCCTCGCTTCCTGCTGCATTGTTGTGGTTTTCTTCCTGTCTCCATCACTGTTTATTACCCATGTGCTTACGCACCGTCTTCTTTTCCTAATACATTTGGCTCCATGAGAAAATGACTTTATACCTTTCACTCCTGTGTCTCCAACACTCGTCCTGGTGTGGCCCAGGGTTGAGGCCACGGAGTAGTTCTGTTCCTGTTGTTCAAAGTGACTGCTCTGTGACTGGGGCATTGCTATCCACAGCTTAATTCTGTAGATTGGTGCCACCCAACCTCTTATTGGGCATCTATGCCACCTGTGGTGGTCTACCTGGTGCTGAAGGCCCCTTCCCTAAAGCTCATTAGTAAAAATTGTGTGTCTTGTTCTAGTGGGAATCATTTGGGAATTCATTTGACTGCAAGTAACAAACCGACCAAGCACCTATGGTGGTTTGAACAGATGTGTTTTTTAATTGGTGAGAATTATTTATGATATTGGCTTAGCATCTCACTGCCAGGCACACAAAGGTACCAGGAGGTTCCTTTGTGGATCTCCCGGCTTTCCCTTTGGGCATGTATGTAGTTTAATGGGGCGAAGGACTGCTCTGGCTCAGAGTAGTGAAGTGTCTCAGGCATGAGGATGGAGGAAGGAGCGACACCTTTCACACCTTTTCACAGGGCATAGCATACCCAAGTACACTCTTGCTTCTCATTGGCCAACCTGTTAATGTTTGTTTATTTTTAAGACACGGTTTCAGATAATCTAGGCTGACCCCAGACTCCTTTTGTAGGTGAGGATGACCTTGAATTCCCGGTCATCCTGCTTCCACTTTCTAATAACTGGGGTTACAGGTGTGTCCACTATTTCTGATTCATGAGGTGCTGAACCCAGGGCCCCACACATGCTAGGCTAGCATTCTGTCAACTGGGTCACACCCCCAGACATCATTGACCAACTCTGTAAGGTCAGCAATAGCTGAGAAAGTTAGCAACTAGGTTTTCCAGCCTGTCTAGCTGATAGCAGGGAAAAGGTAGTAAGACCATCCAAGGACAGGGCCTCCATTCCAGGCAACTTACATCCTACTTCATGGTAGGGGCAGCCCACGCTCCAGGACACATTTGACAATGTAGGAAGCCAACTCTGTGTGTGTGTGTGTGTGTGTGTGTGTGTGTGTGTGTGTGTGTGTGATGGGGAAAGCATTGCTAGCTTTCAGACCTCTTTAAGAGGTGGGTCTTAGTTAAGGCGTGGCTTCACTGGGACCCAGGTAAAAAGGTGTGCACCTTTTCCCAGCAGGACATTGCTGTGATTGGATTTCTTGTTTCCTGTTTCATGAGTTTTCCCCCTTATAATAAATAAAATATAATTGTTTTATTCTTAGCTAGCCTGATTATTTCTACAGTTGGCATGGCTATTTCTACATGTGTGTGCGTGTGTGTATGTGTGTGTATCCACTGAGTAGAGGTCAGGGACATTGCTACATTCGCTGAAGTATCCGTAGTATCACAGCTGAGAAACTGGTACCTTCAATCTGTGGAAACTGAGTTTCACTGTTTTCCTGTGCTGTACCTCATTGTGGTAGTATAGACTCTTAGTGCCCAGTTTGTCGGCTTATTTTGTTAAAGACGAATAGAGGACTGGTCTTGTTTGTGGACAGCCATGTATTATCATGTCAAATGTCAGAAAGTCTTTTTTTTTTTCTTCTTTTGAGACAGAGTCTCTGTAGTTCTGGCTATCCTGGAATTTGCTTATGTAGACCAGGCTGGTCTTAAACTCACGGAGATCCTCCTGCCTTTACCTCCTGAGTGCTGGGATTAAAAGCATGTGTCACTGTGCTCGGCATTGAGTGCCAGAAAGCCTTAATCAGAATCTAGTTATCAAACAGAAGTAATTAAACCCCATTTCATTTCAGGGTCACAGAACGATGACAAAAGGCAATTCCTGCTGGAGCGACTGCTGGACGCAGTGAAGCAGGTAAGAATGCACACAGCAGCCTTTTGTGTGAATGTCCGAAGGTAACGTAGAAGTCATTTCTTCCCTTTTATGTGCACAGCTTTATTTTGTGTCTGGGAATGGTTTTGGGTTTGTTTTGAGACTAGGTATTAGCAGGTCACCCAGGATGGCCTTGAACTCACGACTAGCCCAGAGTGGCCTTGAACTCACTAAGTAGCCTATGAACTTTCACCTTAGCCTCCCAACTGCTGGGATTACGCACCACCACGTCCAGCTGTTTCAGAGAATGGCTGAACAAAGAGTTTTCCTGGGGCATGACAGATCAGGAAAGGCAGTAAGAGTAGGGATAGAGGAAGTTATTGGTTTGGAGTTTCAAAGTCTGTCCTATAGCAATGACTGTCTTCATTTCAGAATTTGATTTCCCAGCAGATTTGTTTTAGGGCAGCTCTTCAAAGGTGCTGGCTTGCAGTTACGTCTCCCAAAGTACAAACGCCCTGAGCCTCTGTTGCCAGCAACTGTGCCGACTTCCTGATACGCTGGTATGGCTGCCGATGCTGGCTTGCCTGACATTGTAATGCTAGCTGTCATCACATGTCCACTTTGTGCTAAGTGCCTTACAGTGAATTCTTCAGCACTGACCGAGGAGTTCCTGTGACTGTTTCCACTCTATAGACCACGGCACTGAGTGAAACTGAGAGATCAGCAGCTCACTCGAGCCATCAGTTAGTAAGGAGACTGAAGAGTCGCCTCTTGGAAGGGACTGTTGACTGTTATTGGCATGGGATTATAAGGAGGGAAAGACTTTATAGAGTTTGTGGGTTAAATGTTGAAGTGGGACCAGAGAATCCAATGTTTGTTTGGAAGTTGAGGGAGCCTAGCGTGGTGAAGAGGTTGAGGGAATTCCACATTCTTTTCAGCTGCGAGATTTGTCTGCTTTTTCTGAGTGTGTCCCTGTGCTGGTCAGACTTTTGTTAACATGATACAAGCTAGAGTTACCTGGGAAGGAGAGAATCTCAGTTGAGAAAATGTCTTCATCAGGTGGACTGTAGACAAGTCTGTAGTGGGTTTTCTTGATTAATGCTCATAGGGGCAGATACCAGCCCTGAGCAGGAGGTCCTGGGTGCTGTTAGAAACTAGGCTGAGCAAGCCAGGCAGAGTGAGCAGAGTAAGCCAGTGAGCCGGGTGTTTCATGGCTTCTGCTTCAGTTCCTACCTCAGTTTTCTGCACTGATTTCCCTTGATGACGACTGCAATGTGGACATGTCTGATGAAATAAACCCTTTCTTGCTCAGGTTGATTTTGGTCATGGTGTTTATAAACCTAAGGTCGTCTCTTCTCCCCTGGAGTCTGGCCCTTCCTCTGCACGGGATGCTGGATGAATCACACTTGTTAGCACAGGTAGAGTTTGGTCTGCAGTTAATCCAGAACACAAAGACAGCAAGACAAGGAATGAGTTGGGTGCTGTACATGTAGCACCTAAAGAAACAGGTTGGGGCTTCTGGTCAGAACTTCTAGGTTATTCTGAGGAGTTGAACTGTGACATTTATCTTGAAAAACAAAATGTATTTATCTATCATTTACCTACAAATTCTGATAACAGTATCCTTTTTTGATTAATCTTAAGTCTCCATAGGACGCAAGTTTGCTACCCATAAACTTCTTTAACATGGAATAGTGAGCTGGGAGTGTGTACACGTATGTAATCCCAAGATTGCTGTGAATTTGGTCACAGAATTGGCTGTGAATTGGTTGCAGAGTGAGACTGTCTCAAAACAAAGCAGATCAAACCAACAGTAACAGAGCTGGGTGGACAGTGGTGAAGGTGAGGTGACCGTGTGGACTGGGTTTCACGGCTAAAGTGGTTAGGGTAGCGTTGTAGCTCTGATTTTAAACAGGTAGCTTTCCCATCTACTCAGCCTGGCAGAGCTGCTCAGCACAACAAGGTGGCTGTCACTTGACACAGTCTAACCCTTTGAGGGCTCTGTCAAGAAGAGCCATCATCTCAGGCATGGAGGTTCTCAGCGCCAGAGAGCTCCCTGGTAACTGCAGGGCCTGCGCTCCTGTCTGCCTAGTTTACCCACTTCCTGGAGTCAAGAGGGAGACTAGGCTTCCTGTAAGAGGCCAGAGTGTTGTCTTCTTACCTTTGAGGCGCCAGGGCCTCTGTCCCCACTGTATCTGAAGGCCTTGTGGGCTGTTCTGTGATGTCTCTGTCTCAGCCTAGCAGCTGACCTCAGCATTCTCTTTCTCTGCAGTGCCAGATCCGCTTCGGAGGGAGAAAGGAGATTGCTTCAGACTCTGACAGCAGGTGAGTCCTCATTGCCTTCCTCTCTCTCTCTCTCTCTCTCTCTCTCTCTCTCTCTCTCTTTGACAGGATTTCTCTGTAGCTTTGGAGCCTGTCCTGGAACTAGCTTTTGTAGACCAGGCTGGCCTCGAACTTGAACTCACAGAGATCCACCTGCCTCTGCCTTCCGAGTGTTAGGATTAAAGACATATGCCACCATCACCTGGCTCAAATTTTTTTTTGGTTTATGTATTATAGTATGTGTGCATGCATGTGCTCATATGCCACAATGCATGTGTGGAGGTCAGCAACTTTTGGGTGTTGGTTCTCTTCTTCCTTCTTGGAATCTGGGGTCAAACTCAGGTTGGACAGGCTTTGGTGGCAAATGCTTTTACCTGCTGAACCATCTCACCTGAACCCCTAGTACTGTTCATGGGCCTTAGCTCTGCCAGTAGTGGGTTTACAGACATGTGCACTATGCTCAGAAAACAGGTAATTTTCAAAACCACTTTACTGTTCATTAAAAGGTGCCAAGAATGGAGGCTGCCGGATCTGCCTCTGTGACCATTTGGTTCTACAGTGCGTGTGTAGCCACTGCCTATCAACATGCTTCTAAGTTCCTCTCTTCTCCTCTAGGAGTCTGCTCTATTTGCTACATAAAGTTATTCCTGTAATGATTTACAGTTGTGAAAACTCAGAAGCCTAAGTATTTAGTGTTAGGAAATAGGTGATTGCTGGGTGGTGAGGGTGCATGCCTTTAAACCCAGCACAAGGGGACAGAGGCAGGTGGATCTCTGAGTTCAAGTCCAGTTTAGGCAGTTTAGCCCCTGTCACAAAGAGAGAGATATATAGAGAGGAGAAAAGATGCAAAAAGACCTGGATATATAGATATCTTGGCGTTAGAGCATTTACCTACCGTATATGAAACTCTGTACAATCCCAGCAACACAAACATAGCAAAGAAGCAAAAAATGATATTACATAGGATTTCCTTTAAGCAGGAAATGTACGTGTATGTAGCAATTTAAAAGTTATGTATGTAGGGCCCATGAGATGCCCTGCCACCATACCTGATGACCCATCCTCAGGAACCACATGGTCCTGCATGCTGTCCTCTGTCACACATCTGCCATGGCATGTGTGTACATATAGATACACAGACACTTACATGCACATAAGTAAAACGTAATATCAGCGTTATGGATTAAAGTCTGATAAGGGGTCTACTCTCTGTCATAGGGGTTCTCATTTTGGAATTTAGGGTCTACCTGCATCAGAAGTGCCTGGAAAGCTTGTAAATTCATGATGATGATGTCAGTCCTAACCTGGGTCTACAGCGTCCAAGTGCTGTGAGCAGACAAGTGTGTTAGCTTGGAGAGCTCTTGCTTGGCCGGATCTGTGCCTCCTCTCGCCTCAGTCTCCCAGTGCTGGGATCACAGGAGTGCACACCATACCCAACTGAGAATTTGCATTTTCAGTAAATTTCACCCTCAAAAGAATAATAGGAAATTTGAGTGTGGTAGTCCCTGCCTATAATTCCAACATGTGGGAAGTTGAGGCAGGAGGATTATCAATTTAAGGTTATTTTGTCTAGATAGCAATTACGTTGAGACCCTGTCTCAAAACACAAATAAGAGTAAAAAGAATAGCTATAAACTGTCAAGTCTTATGAATGCAGATCTGCTGTCCAGGAGTTGTTTCTGTCCCTGGACTGGGATGCAGAGTTAATTAAGAAGTACTCACCCTAGCCTGACCAGCATGACTTTGTGTAGTGTGTGTGTACAATGTCTGTGCATGTGTGTGTTTCTGTGCAGTGTGTGTGTGTGCATGTGCATGTATGTGCAGTACAAACACATGTGTGCAGTGTGTGTCTGTGTAATGTGTGTGTGTATATGTGTGCGTATGTGTGCAGTGTGCATGTGCGTGTTTCTGTGCATATAGTGTGTATTGTGTGCACACACTCAGGTCTGTGTGCAGTGTGTGTGTAGTGTGTGTGTATGTATTCATTTTCCTTCATCATTGTGCTATTCATTTTCCGAGAGGTATCTGTCCTAGGTAGTGTGATTTATACTTGGTCTTAATAATAAAAACCCTGAGTCAGATATTAGGGGATGAAAGCTGAAATAGCAGAGAAGCAGAGCAACCAGCTCCTAGTTCTTATCCCATGAAATCATCAGAATGAGTGGGGTATCCTGTCTCTAGGAATCCTCAGACTGAATGCTTTCTCTGCAAAACTTCAGACTGGATCCTGAACTGTCTCCTCCTGCCGTATATTCTCTCTGCCCAGCCATATCATTTCCCTTCTCCACCGCTTGACTCTGTTTCTCTTTTAGACTGATTCAATCTCATGTAACCCAGGGTGGCCTCGAACTCACAAAGATCTGTCTGCCTCTGTCTCCCGAGTGTTGGGATTAAAGGTGACTACTGCCTGGTCTCTATGACTAACTAGTGTGGCTAGCTCCACACTTTGATCTTCAGGCAAGCTTTCTTTGTTAAAGCACAAACAAAATATCACCACATAATGTTCCTACATAACAGCTGCACCTTTTCTTAGGTAAGATCTTAATGTTTGTGCTGGCAGGACGTCTCTGGCTGTGGCACCTTATGACCTGAATTTGATCCCAGATACCCAGAGGTGAAAGAAGATAACAAACTCTCTCTATTGTCCTCTGACTTCAACATGCTTGCTATGAATTGTATGTCCACCTACACACACACAAAGTAAACATTTTTTTTAAAAAACGCTGTTAAATAGTAGATTTTAAAAAGTTAGTTCCTGGGCTGGAGAGATGGCTCAGCAGGTTAGAGCATTTACTGTTTTTGCAGAGGACCCAACTTTGATTCCCAACATCTATGTCAGGTTACTCACAACTGCCTATAACTTCAGTACCTCTCCTGATGTCCTCTCCTGGCCTCTGTGGGTACCACACATAAAGGTATGTACACACAGACATACACATACACTTAAAAAAAGAAGAAGAAGAAAAAGTTGATTCCGGCTGCTGTGGCTGTTGGCTGTGGCTAAGTATTGACAGTACTAGTCATCAATGACTATTGCTTGGTGCTGTGTTGACATTGCATCTTTAGGACAGCTTAAACTAGTAACATTGTGCCTTTTCTAGAGGGGCTAATGATGGTGCTCAGATAGTGTGTTTGTCAGCATTTTGGTTCCTGTGATAGGCTTTTCAAGAGAAAGAGGAAATACGGTGATTCATGGCTTTGGAGGTAATAGTCCCCAGTCACTGTATCTGGTGCGTGATGGTGCAAGCTGCTCGTCCTGCATCTGGGAAGCAGAAAGGGCTCCTGAGAAGGGACAATGCCCCAGTTACCTTTATTATCCAACTAGGTCCTGTTGCCTAAGGTTTCTTGAGTTCTGGCATCATTGCAAGCTTGCCTGGCTGCAGGAGCCCTCTTCACCGTCCATTCTTGTGGGAAGCTTCCCCTCCAGAGGGAATGTTGGCTGCCATGGTGAGCGACAGCAGTCGTGCAGCTGCTTGCTGGTCTCCGTTTGGCCTGCCTGCTGTTGTGAGCTCTACTTCACACAGTCCCGTGGTAGCTGTTTGGATGACTAGCCAGATCCTCAGCATGCCTGTCTGGCACTGAGCATTCTCTTTCTCTGGCGCTCCTTCCTAAGCTCTCTCTAGTTCCAGACACGCCAGCTTCCTCAGCCTTCCCTCAGAACATTGACTTTGTCCTCTCCCTCTTGCCCACCACCCCCTTCTGGCAGCTGCCAAGGTCTACAGCTAATGAAAGGATCTGATCTGAGGCTTCAGAGCAGCAGGAGGTCACACATGGACTCAGCCACCCGTCTGCCATCTGGGACCTGGCGAGGGGAATGCTGCTGCTCAGCACTCTCCTTTCAGTTTGCTCTGGGACTCCAGCCCGTGGGACTGTGCATGACCAGGATGGGTCTTCCCTCTAGACTACTTTTCCTGGAAACACCTTCACAGGCACACCTAGAGGTGCTTCCACGGTGATTCTAAATCTAGTCACGTTGACACTGAGGATTGGTCACTCACCAGGAGTGCTGTAGCCAGGCTGTTGTAAGCTCTGGGATCCCTGGACTGACTTCCCGAGTAAGTAGGCACTCAGAGTCCAGTTAGGAGTAGGTCTTCTTTTTCCACTTGGGCTCTCACCTGGCTTACCTCAGCCTTAGCATTTAATGGGCCTTGTTCACTGTGAGGAGTACCTGCCATGAAGGAATGCTCATTTCACTCTACATCTGGGAAACCCTTCCACTTTGGGAATTATAGGCTGGGTTGGCCCACTTGTCATTCACTTGCCTCTGCTTTCTGAGTGCCAGATTAAAGGTGTGTGCCACCACTACCTGGCTGCATTTTCCCATTTTAAATGCCTCTGTATTCGTCATGTGACTTTTTTCTTTAGTGTGTCACATGCTTCCCACCAGCCTCTTTAGTCAAAGGTGTTAACTGGATGCCATATTCTTATTGGCCTGGGAAAAACTTTTGGGTTTGGTTAATTGGCTCTGACACTTCTCCCACATAGGTTTTTAATTTTTATTTTTTACTTTATATTGGTGATAGAACCAACACTTACTATACAGGTATTCTACTACAGTGGTAAGCCACCAGCCCTGTATCTTTTTGTTTATTAACCAGATTAGAAAAAGATATTTTGTACATATGATACTGGGAATGTAATCCAAGACCTTACATGTGTTATGTAGGTGTTGTACATCCTCAGCCCAGGGTAGCCTGGTCTCACTGTGTGACCCAGGCTAATCTTGAACAGAACAGGTGGCCTCTTAACCTCCTTCTGTGCTAGCAAAACAAGCATGCACTAGCATACTCGGCTATGAGTTGATTCCTTCCTGGAAAAAGAGTATTTTTAGCAGATGTAGAACTCTTGGATATTTAAGAAATCTGAGCACATTTTCATATCTAAATTTAAATAAACATTTGTCTTGGGTGTAAATGATGGTTGCTGAGAAGGAGCACAGTGGACAGCATGCAAGCCTCATTCTCCCTGACACTTCATGTTTATTTGGTGACGATGAGAGGCAACTAGCGTGCACCCTGGTCTCTGGAGTCTACATACCTTCAGACCTACCATGGGTACTACCATGGGCACTACCATGGGCACTACCATGGACACAAGTTGCTGACAACTGGGTGTGTAATTTTGGGCTGCATTTGCCTCTCCAAGCCTCTCTTGTGACAGACACACCAGGGGATGATGATCAGCTCACTTCCGTGGACCAGGGCCATGCTTATCTCTAGTGGCATTTGCTGGGCACACTTAGGAAGAACATAATGGATTCAACATTTTTGCTGTGTAGAATGGCTCACCTCGAACTCACAGAGATCCATTTGCCTCTGCCTCCTGAGTGCTGGGATTAAAGGTGTGTGCCACCAATCTCAGCCTACATTTTTGCTTTATGCCAGGGCACACCAGCATTTTGGGGTAGTTAATTAAAAGTCAGAGGACTCTGGTTATCCTGCTGCTGAGGGGGTGTTGGAGAACTGTTCTGTGTTTGAGACGCCATTTGAGAAGATGGTTGCCTTCAGAACATTGCGTTGAGTTTGGACATGTAAATTGTGGTAACAATCACAGTGACCTATAATTAGATGGTATAGAGGTGACTGTAGCATTAGTGGGCAAATGGGTGCGTGGAGGGGCTACAGGTTGTGCCTGAGCAGAGGTAACATTCAATATGAAGGTACAAGGAAAGGGTAAAGTGGATGGACGTATGGACTTGTGTGTTGTACGTACCTCTCTGCTGTCCTGGAAAAGTGTACTGGTGGACTTTTGGTCAGTTTAACACAAGGTAGGGTTATCTGGGAAGACGGAACCTCAGTTGAGAGATGCCTCCATCAGAGGCAAGTCTGTGGGATATTTCCCTGATTGATGACTAATGGAGGAGGGCCAGCCCCTGTGGTCAGTGCCATCCCTGGGCAGGTGGTGCTGGGTTATGCTGACCGAGGTTTCTGACCCGCCTGGTCCCTCAGCCATTCAGTCCCAAAGAAATTATAAACTGGTTGGCCTATTTGCTCAGGCTTCTTATTAACTAATTCTTACATCTTAAATTGGCCCATTATTCTGGTCTATGTTAGCTACGTGAATTGGTACCTTTTTCAGTGAGGCATTCTCATCTTTCTCGAGGGCTAGGTGACAACTGCAGGTTGGCTCTTTCCTCTTCCCAGAATTCTCCTGTTCTGGTTGTCCTGCCTCTACTTCCTACCTGGTTGTCCCGCCTATACTTCCTGCATAACTACTGGCCAATCAGTGTTTTATTAAAATACAAGTGGCAGGATAAAAAACCATTGTCCCACAGCAGGGTTACATAAAGAAGCAAGCTGAGCAAGCCATGGGGCATGTCAGTAAGCATCAATGAGGGTATTTGAGTGATGTTTTGGAAATCTAAATCAGTGTAGTGGAAATTTCATAAAATATATGAAAGCAATCTTAATGAAGTATTCTAATAATGGGGGATATGGAGTCCCAACTGGCCATCTCTTGTCACCAAATGAGTCTCAAATATAGTTACTGCATTGCGTTCAGTTGAGTTGTTGGCCAAGAGAGTCCCTTGGAAATCCCCAGACGACCAAGGCTGTTGCTAAGACAGTGAGTTCTCCACAAACTGACAGTGGGGCCCCATTGCCGAGGCCAGCACCCACAAAGCTATTCCACATGGAGAAGCGGGGCTGATGCCTGCATGGAGGCTTCACTCTTGTGTCTAGTCTCTTCGGTATGGGAAGAGAAACAGAAACACCAGCTCAGTCACAAAACTCTGTACCTCCAGTTTGTCCTGCCTACATGATATGCTAGGACAATGGTGGCACTTGTACAGGCACTTGCTACCATGCCTCATGATCCAGGTGTGATCCTTGGGACCCACATGGTGGAAGGGGAGAACCAAATCCGACAAGTTGTCCCCTGACTTCTGCATGTGTGCTGTGGCATGTGTGGGTATGTATGTACACAAAGTAATTAAACTGCAATAAAATAAATTTTGATGTCTTTTTTTGCAGTATTTTATTTGTTTTATAAGCATTTTTGCATATTTATTTTCTGTATGGACATATGTGTGGGGGTTAGCAGACAATTACTCAGGTTATCAAGCTTGGGTGCAGGTCCTTTTCCCACTGAGCCTCTGCTGGCCCGAAGCATGCTGTTCTCTATCTGTATGTTTTATGTTTGCTTGTTTTAATTTAACATTTTAAAGAAAAGCTTAAAAAACATTATTTTCAAGCTGAGCAGGATAGCTCATATCCATAATCTGAGCAGTCAAGAGGCTGGAGAGGAGGTTGCTGAGACTTGAAGCTGGCCTTCGTTACATAGTGAGTTTGAAGTCAGCCTGGGCGACCTAGAAAGAGCTTGTTCCCCCCTCCCCCCCTTTTATGACTGTTCTAGAGTTCTTATGTAGACCAAGCTGCCCTTAAACTCAGAGAAATCTGTCAGCCTCTACCTCCTGAGCACTGGGATTAAAGGTGTGTGCTGCTACAACTGGTATAAGAGCCTTAAAAAATAAAACAGGGGCTGGAGAGATGGCTTAGTGGTTAAGAGTACTTGTTCTTGCAGAGGATCTGGATTCAGTTTCTGGCACCCACATGGTGCTTCACAACCGTCTAAGTCCAATTCCAGGCCATCTGACACTCCTCTGCTGACAAATGTGGGCACCAGGCACCAGCATGGTGCAGTCATACATGCTGACAAAACTTCTGTACACATAAAAATAAGAGATCTAAAAAATTAAAACAAAATGCTCAAGCTCCCTACATGTTTTAGTTATTCCCCCTCATTTCTGCCTTCAAACAAAGCTTGTTCAATCTTTATGACTGAGTAGTGGTATTCTGGCCTTTTTCAGTGCCTCAGAGAATAAGTGAATACAGGAAAATGTGAAGGCACAAGCCCAGCTAGTCATTGTTTCGCTGGGTGGTTTTACTCAGAGCTGGAGCGCAGGTGCCCGGCCGGCACGGTGAGGTGTGGACTTAGTCTCAGCTATTGTCTCAGCCCCTGCTGTCTTCACTGGTCCGCCTGCTCACCTGCTCAGCTGCCCCTGTGCATGTTTTCAGGGCTGAACAGCTGCTCTGCCATTTGTTTAGCTGCTTCCTTTAGTGCTAAGTGTTTAGGACTAAATAATACCATTTTTATCATTCAGTCTTTATCTCATATAGATTGTAGTCTTGTGTGTGTGTTTGCTAATGAAGTTCGTGGGCAAAGGGTGTGAACCTTTCACAGACTTAATTCATACATGTAGGACATAGCCCTTTTCAAATGGTCATCATGTCCTGCCCTGGTTTGAGCAAGGGTAGCAGACTGACTTCATCTTACCTCTATGCTAGCCATTGATCGATTTTAGGGGTGCTATTGACTCTGTCCCAGTTAACATTGGAGCTTTACAAACAGGGTCAATCTTGTTCAGTTTTGAGGTTGCATTTGGTTTTCTCAAAAAGGTCTCTGTGTGGGGCTGAGATGTCGGTCAATGGTAGAGTTTCTGCTTAGCATGCTTGAGGTCCTAGGTTTGATACTTAGAACCATCACCACCACCTCCTCCTCCAACACCTCCATTGCCACCACTCCATCACCACCTCCCCCACCTCCACCCCAGAAGCTAGGAATGGTGGCTAGTGTTTGTAACTTCTGCACTTGGGAGTTGAGGCAGGAAAAATGCCATGAGTTTGAAGCTAGCCAAGTGAGTTCCAATCCAACACAGATAACAGAATGAGTCTTTGTCTCAAGAAAAAACAAATTCTCTCCCACCAGCCCTCAAGGGCTGGGGATGAAGCCTAGAAATGGGGTGCTGCCTCCATTATTCCACCATCAGACTTTTCCGGAATATCTGCAGTGTGCTGCTTCTGCTGCTGTTGTTGTTTGCTAATTTGACACATGCCAGGGTCATTTGGAAAGAGGAAACCTCACCTGAGAAATAGCCTCCCTCAGCTTGGCCTGTAGGCAGGTCTATGGGACATTTTATTGAGTAATAATCAGTGTGGGTGTACCAAGCCCACTGTGTGTGCCACCTCTGGGCAGGCGTATCTGGGTTCTCTAAGAAAGCAGGCTGAGAAAACCAGTAAGCAGCATTCCTCCTTTGCCTCCGCTTCCTTTTGTGATGAACTGCAATTGTAAGCTGAAGTGAACTCCTCCCCAGGTTGTACAGAAATGGAAATGTAAGCAAGGACACTGCATGGAAGCCTTTATTTTATTTATTTAATTTTTATTTTTATATTTTTTGAGACAGGTTTTTCTGTGTAGTCCTGGCTGTCCTGGAACTGTCTTTACAGACCAGGCTGGCCTTGAACTCGGATCTGCCTGCCTCTGCCTCCCAAGTGCCAGATTTAAAGGCCTGTGCCACCATGCCCAAGTTTATTTCTTTGAGACAGAGTCTCATGTAGCCCATGCTGGTTTCAGCTGGATATGTAGTTGAAGCTGACCTTGAGTTTCTGATCCTCCTGCTGTGTGCCAAGGCATGAACCACCTTTCCTGGCTTTGTGTGGTGAACTGAGCTCAGCTTTGTGCCTATCAAATAGTACTCCATTTAGCTGTTCATCCTGTGAACAGCTGTCTGCCTACAAACCTGGGTGATGTTACTGAATGATGCTTTTTTAAAAAAAACTAAGAGCCTGTTATTAAGAGCCTCGCTCATTAATACATCCCAACTCATTAACTTGGAATGTAAGTTGGATGTGATACAATGCCATTGAGGCAGTCAGCCTTTCACAGTGAAGTTAAAGAACATTTCGCAGAGGGAATTCTGGGAAATACAGATTCAGCTAAGAAAATGTATGGATGAAAGCAGGTGCTTCTTTGGTCTTGTAGGAATTAGCACCATATAAGCAAGGGCAGGAAACAGTGGAAACCTTCCCTGACATGGTCATGCTGGGAGCCTCTCTGTGTGCCCACGTCCCAAAGGATAAACTCTTGTGTGTGCCCACACCCCTAAAGGGTAGACTCCTGTGTGTGCCCACGCCCTCTAAAGGGTAGACTCCTGTGTGTGCCCATGTCCTCTAAGGGGTGGACTCCTGTGTGTGCCCACACCCCTAAAGGGTAGACTCCTGTGTGTGCCCACACCCCTAAAGGGTAGGCTCCTGTGTGTGCCCACGCCCTCTAAAGGGTAGACTCCTGTTTGTGCCCATGTCCTCTAAAGGGTGGACTCCTGTGTGTGCCCACACCCCTAAAGGGTAGACTCCTGTGTGTGCCCACACCCCCTAAAGGGTATGCTCCCGTGTGTGCCCACACCCCTAAAGGGTAGGCTCCTGTGTGTGTCCACGTCCCCTAAAGGGTGGACTCCTATGTGTGCCCACGTCCCCTAAAGGGTAAGCTCCTGTGTGTGCAGGTGTCCCTTCCCTGACTCCCTGGTCCTAGGGACTTGAGAGCTATGAGAGCTCTCCTGAGATGCGTCTCTCACTGAACTGTGCAGCCCCAAGCCTGTGCTCTCCATCCCAAGGGGAAGAACCATTTGGATCACATTGTCTGCAGTGTTGGGGCAGCGCTCAGTCAGCAGGAGAGACATGGAACTCCAATACCAACTACTAAGAGTGCCTTAGACAGGAACACAGGGTAAAGGCACCAGGAAGACAGTTGAATACGATATCATGAGTAGACACACGCCTAGGTCATATAGAGAGGTTCACAGGGACCTGGAGGATGTTGACATGGACTGGCCTCTGGCTTGGCGTTGTGAGAAGTCATTACAGGAGTAGCACTCACCTGGGTGTTTCTGCTGTTAGCATAGTTGTGACCTGTGTGTGTTTGGGAGGTTGGGCTGCTAATGCAACCGGACCCTCCAAACACAGGCTTGCTGCTTGCCTGCTTTTCATTCCCCTGAGGGGCCTGGCCTGATTTTATCTGGAGTTGGCCAGGCAGTTACTGACCTGTGCTTTGGAGCCAAGCAAACTGCCAGGGATTGTTAAATGGATGGTTGAGTTTGCAGAGATTCCTTTTAAGCTAGGGGCCTCCATTAATTACAAAGAAGCCTCAACCGTGTCTAGAGTTGTTTCTCCTAAGACAGGGCCCCTGTCTTGCTCTAACTTTGGTTTCTGTGGATTTCAGATACTTCTGTATCTGTCCCAGCCTTCAGGAAGCCCTCAAATACTTGCATACCTGTTTGGCATAGAGGAGTGGCAGACACATGGCTAATGTTTAGGAGTGACAACTGCCCCACAAAGAGGGTTGTCTCATTGTGGGTGGATCCTGGGACCTGTGCCCAGGCCCTGCTGGCTACAGGGGTTCCGGGAAAGACCATCCAAGAGGCCAGGAGTTAGATCTGGAGATAATAGAACCTACCCCATCAGGGAGTTAGATTTGGAGAAAATAAAGCCTACCCCATCAGGGCTCCTAGCATTGTTGGGGAGTTACTGAGGTAATAAATGTGAAAATGCTTCATCACCCATATAGCGACAGCCCCCTGGAGCGGTCAGATATGGTGACAGGTGGAGCAGATATCCTTAAAGTCAGGCAAAGTTGAGCCAGATGGTCGGGGTGTTTGGGGTCTTTGCACTGGGCCCCTCTGCCTAATTTGCTGCCTTTTTTTGTCATATTGAGGTAATAACTCCAAGGTTACCGCCATCTGATCACAGAATGTTGGCCGGGCTGTGCCTATTTCCATTCCCCATGCCACCCTGGTCTAATTTCTTTCCATTTCTGAGGTACTGAAATGTTTTGTGTGGTCTCTGGCCTTACTTTTCTACTTTTTTAGAACAGTACAGAGGCTTTGGGGTAGGGCCCTTTCTGTGTCTCCTACCCTGTTGTGATTCTTTTCTTTTCTTAAATCAATCTATCGATCTGTCTGTCTATCTATCTATCTATCTATCTATCTAGTTTTGAGGCAGGTCTCAGTAAGTAACCTTGTCTGCCCCCTCCCTCTCACCTTGTCTGACCTGAAGTTTGCTGTGGCACATAGGAGCTATCACTGGCTGTGAATGGAAGGGCTCAGAAAGCATGGCCCAAGAACCTAGGGAGGACCTGAGAATCCAGTGTGATTTCCCTGACTTCATCTCTCCACGGGCATGCTCAGAAGCTCCCTTTTTTTTTTCAGTTATTGAGAAATTCAATTAAATGCACAGCAATTGTAACTTAATTGAAAATTTTTGTCACCTCTAGATAGGAATTCACGATGTAATCTCTTATAATATAATAAGTAACAAGAATAAGAATTCACATGACAGTAAGTAGCAGGCCATGAAATTAGAGTGTTTCTGGTTTGGCAGACTACTGGATTCAGCCTCTGATAATGTCATCTTGCTTTGTGCTTTGCAAACTATGTGATGTGAATTAAGAGTTGAGACTTGTGAATTGAATGCAGTTCAATTCACAGGACTGATTTGTTTTTAAATTGGCTTTTCATTACCTGCTGGTTAGCACCCTTTCCCCTGTTCTTCCAGCACTGGTCCTGAGGGGCATCCCTGACTTGAATCAGACAAAAATAGGGTGGGGCTTTTGGAGCGTCCAAGTCTGCAAATCCGGGTGTCTTCTGGAGTCACACCTGGCGGTTCTCCTGCAGTGCTGGAGCCCACTCTGCTTGGTGTCACTTCCCAGGTAGACTGATGAGTCCCTGCTTCTCCTGCAGGGTGACCTGTCTGTGTGCCCAGTTTGAAGCCGTCCTTCAGCATGGCATGAAGAGGAGCCGAGGATTAGCGCTCACAGCAGCAGCCATCAAGCAGGCGGCAGGCTTTGCCAGCAAAACTGAGACAGGTACTTGATGCCCACTTCTGCCTTGCTGCTTGTCTGTCTTTCCATAGCAGGCTCATCGTGTGGGCCTAGGCCTGTGCTTGTGTGCCTAGAAATTCACAGAGTGAAAAACAGAGGCAAAAACAGTGCTGTCTAGCCCCTTAATTTAAATGAAGTCATCTTTTGTATGTGGTTCCCAGAGCCAGTAGTCACAATCTCCTCTGGGGCTGGCTGTCTACAGCCACAGTGCTGATTCTACCAGTGTGGTGTAGCAGTGTTTGGGAAATTAATAATCTGTTTGAATTCAATGCGTGGGGATAGCATGACATTGTGTAATTAAATGACTTAAGCAGCACCAGAAACCCCGCAGGTCTCAGAACTCAGAGTTGTGCTGTTATCCATTTCAGTGTTGTAAAATATTGTCCCTGAAAACAGGGAACACTTGGTGCTTAGTGGGACCCTGGCCCTTGATGATACTGGATGTGCGCTAACTCATTCCACTTCCCAGAAGTACGTAGGCCTTTACTGCTGCCACTGTATGGCTGAGGAAGCCTGCCGGGTGAATGTTCTGCTCTGGCCATGAGCTTGGAAATAAATTGTCATGCAGAGATGGCTGGGCATCTCTCCATTCTTCATATTTCAAAGGCAGAGTTTTTGTGACCTTTCTTGTACCTACTACCTCCAGTTTCCGACTCTTCCTTGTCCTCATGCTAATGCAAGCATTACTGCTGAGGAAAAACGTGTCCTCTTTCCACTGGCCATCCATACACCAGAAAGGCAGAGCAGGCGTAAGGCAGAGCAGGCGTGTGTGGTGGGGGTGTCTGAGGGAATCTGGACAATGCCTCTCTTTGAGACCAGGGTCTCCTGTGTACCTTGTCCCCACAGTCTTGTCAGATGCCATGGTATGGACATGGCCTCTGGCCAAGCCAGTGAGGCTGTCTGCTTTGGGACTTTTTAGCCTTTGACCTTGAACTTCAATCTTCCTCCGCTGGGGTGGTGGGTGGGCACCACCACATCTAGTTCTAGGCCTTTTTTATTTTCTCTCAGCTCTTCAGCAAACCTTTGATTCCTGTTTATCTAATGAGTAGCTCATTTCCAGAAACGAATGTGGTTCTGTGGATCAAGAGACTGTGCCTGGGGTGAATTCCTTTCACTGCTGAATTTCACATACAATTGTCTTTAGTACCCCCAGGTCTTCTTTAAGCCAGCAAGGGAGTCAGGCGCTGTGGTGCATACTTAAAATCCCAGCACTAGGGAGTTGGAGGCATAAGGATAAGAAGTTTGAGGTCAGCCTGGGCTGTGTGAGACCTTATCTCAAAAACCAGACCAAACCCAAACCAAACAAATAAAAAACGGTGAGGAGGGGCTAATCCTAAGAAAATCTGGGCCAAAGACCTCAGTGTCTTTCAGTAAGCTTCTACAAGGTGCCTTGCCCACCTTGCCTACCTCAGAGGTTGACGACAGTGATTTATAGTGGGGTCTCAGATGCTTTCCTGGGGTGCACCCTAAGCCTACATATGGTGTGGGCCAGTGTTTGGGCTGCTTGGTAAGATTTTCCCAGAGTCCCCTGTGTTTGCTGAATCCCCTTTCTCTTTGTTTCCATCTTTACTTGGGGCCCTTGATTGCTTCCAGTGGGTGACCTCAGCTGCTGGCCGCAGAGTCAAGCCATAGTGATCCTGTGGGTGCTCTCTCTGAGCCTTAGTGCTTAGCACCCAGGGAGAGCATGGTCTCTGAGGGTGGTTGGCAGGTTGTGCCACAGCTTGTGCTGCTCAGGAGTGACCCTTCCTCCCCAGCTCCCTGAACTCTCGCCCTCTCCTTCACCTCATTCTTTAGTTCTGACCTCTTGGCCCCACAGGGAGATTAGCTCTTCCTGTGGCCTCACAGCCTAGAATTGTCTCTTGTTTCTTGACTCTGATAACTAGGAAAGCCCCAAGGCCTCAGCCCCACCTGCCTCAGCTTAGTTTCCCTCTGTAGCCTGGAAGTGGAGACAGGCTTTGCTGTTGTCTGCTGTGCCAATTAGAAGCCAGGCACAGAGCACTGGCTTAGCCCTGGGGTGGCTGCTAGGGTTTCATTGTCAGCTCTGTTGGCTGCCTTAATTAACCATTCACTGGCTGCTGGCCCCGCCTTGGCTGATTAAGACCGCTTCCCTTGCAGGGAGTGATTAAAAGCCTCCCAAGGGAGGAGGGCTAGTGGTTTATCAACCGAGATCAAGGTGGAGAGCCTTGGGAGCAGTCCTTTGGGATGATAGAATGAGGAACGTGAAATCCAGAGAGAAGGATTGGGTAGATATGAACCCCTCACCCCATAATGTAGCATAGGGGTTGTGATCTGTGGCTTAAGTTGGGCAGGGTTGACATCCTTCCCAGTGACTTGTCAGGCAGGAGCCCATGGGGACATCTCCTCCCTGACTCAATGTTTTCTCATTGTAAGATGAGGCAATCAGAGGCCCAGGTTCAGGGCAGTCGCATTTCAGTCATCTTTGATACTGTCCTTGTTTATTGAATAATGACAGAGGCTTATGTTAGCCAGGAGGCTGCTACATGTATCAGCTCTGTTTACAGTTGAGAAGCATGGGCCTCCCCAACTGGGCACTAGCTCAGTGGTAGGGTGCTTGCCTAACACGTGTGAGCTCATATGTTCAATCCCCAACACCACAAACAAAGCAAACTCTTTTCCCTCTGAAGAGAGAGAAGCTCCACCTTAGAGTACTGACTGAAGGATATGTGACCGCTGAGAATGTGGTCCTCCAGGGTTGGCACTGGGCGACTGAGCTTAGTGACTCAGTTCCTTAGGCACTTATTTTTTTAAGATTCTAACATTTAAAAATTGTGGACTTTCATGTTGAAATAGGGGTTTCTACTTTAAACCGCAGCCTGCTGTCCCTTGGTTGGCACTGAGAACGCTGGCAAAGGCATGGCCATCCTCTCCCTGCTACCCTGAAGCACGAGATAGTGCTGGCTGTTGTCTGATTCGAGAGGAGGTCGTTTCTACTCCCTACATACTGATAACTTACCTCTGTCCTTTTTAGACCATGATCCAGGGTAAAGGAAATACATTTGAGCATGCAGACGTCGTGGGGACTCACCTTCCAGAGCCCTAGAGACCTGTCCTGTGTGCCGATGAGGATGCTGAAGTATTCTGTGTGTGCGCCTGTGCATGCGTGTGTGGAGGACATGCCCACTGCTCTCTACCTCATTTGTTCCCTCGGTACAGCTGGAGCTCACCAGGTGGCTGAACCGGCTGGTGAGCTTCAGGGATCCTCTCGCCTCTGTCTCGCAGTTCTGGGATCACAGAACTAGCTTTTGCCACACCTGGCTAGCGCTGTGCTTGCTTTAGTATATGTGTGCATGTGGTCTGCCATGGCCTCAGTATACAGGTCGGAAGATAGTCCTGGTAGCTGGTTCTTTCTTTCTACCATGCAGGTCCCAGAGATGGAACTCAGACTTGGCAGCAAGCACCTTTACCCACTGATCATCCTTTCATGTTGAAATATGGGGTTCAGCCCGCAAAGTGACTTTTTTTTGAGGATGTTGGGTAGCTGAACTCAAGTCCTCATGCTTGTACAGCAAACAATTTTCTTACTGAGCATTTTCCCAGTCCCACAATGTGTGTTTGTGACCTCAGCTTTGAAGAGACATTGAATACAAGGTAATACACAGAAGCACGAAGCAGCTCCACGCAGTCACTAGTGTCACTGGCCGTTAGGCTCTGATGTTTCTGTTTCTTGGGCTTGCCACCCAGCCTTGCCTGGTGCTTCTCCCATTTCTCACACAGGCCTTTGTTCTGCTTCATTTCGAAGGAAACTTCATGTCCTCATTTGTGTGTGGTTTCAGCATTGTTCTGTGAGGTTCTGTTGGGCCGTTGGGTACCAGGAGCTGATCTGCCTCCACTGATGGTCAGTGCTGCGTAGCCTGTTACTCTCTTTGGAGCTGTTGTGAGCACTACTTCTGGAGCTGTTTCTGTTGTGTTTTGGATGTGTATGTGTCTTGGAGGGAAATTAGTGAGTCATGGGGCTCACACACCTGAGCCAGAGACTCTGGTTGTGGTTCAGCTTCTGCCAGCAGGTGGTTCAGGTGTACCAGACCTGGGGTGGTTCCACATCCTGCCTTATAACTATGCTTATCTTCCAGGCTTTGTCATTTCCCGATGACCACATTGTTGACCCTGTTTCTCAGGCTTGTCGGCCACCCAGATACCTTCTTTTATAAGGTTCAAAACTTTGGCCCATTTTTTCCTTGGGTTGTTGTTCTTCTAATCTGTATGAGTTTTTGATAGTTTATAGATACAAACTCTTTATTCCTAGGACACAGGAAACCTTTCCAACTCTGTAACTGACCCTGTAATGATATCTTTTGATGGATAAAAGTACTCCATTTTCCTTTTTTAAATTTTATTTATTTATTTATTTAATTTTTAATACCAATCCAGTTCCCCCTCCCTGCTCTCAGCTCACTCCTCCACTTCCCCCCACCCAACCCCCACCTGCTCCTCAGAGAGGGTAAGGCCGCTCCTGGGAAGTCAACTCAGTCTGTCCCATCATGTCATTGAGGCAGGACCAAGCCTCCCTGCCCCATGGTACTCCATTTTCATAGCCTAATTTATCTTTCATCCTATTAATTGAATTTTTCTGAATCTGTTTAAGAAATCTTTGCTTATTCTAAAGCCATGAGGATCATCATATAGCTGACTGAGTTCTGCATATGTGAGGGCTAGTATGTTATTCTTCCCTTGCGGAAGTCTAACTGAAGAAGAGCTGTTTATTGGCTGTTCCCCAACTGCCCTGAAACATCCCTTTGGTCATAAATCAAGAGTCCATGCATATATTTTTTTCTTCTGGACATCATATCTGGATAGTCTTTTAACCCTTGTGCCAGTAGCACTGTTGTGACTCTCCTCCTAGGCAAGCACACCAGCAACTTGGAAAGGTCAGCTGTGCCCCTTGCGAAGGGGTGATCATAGCTGGGCTAGATGACTGTTAGATCCCATTGTGGAGGGGTGGGGAAGGCCAGCAGACGCTCACCTGA